TTGGTGTATGGCAGAGGATGCCATATCGTCGGTGGTGTTGATGTTCGAGTCCTCTGGGGGCGACCGCGTAGGCAGCGACTTATGAATGCTCTCGGATAGCCATTTTGCACAAACTGGTCGCGGAGATAACGGGCCTCACGTGCTCTTTCCTCTGGTTTGCTGCAATTAGTCTTGAAGTATTCACTATTCAGCTCATAGCTTGCGGATGACCACTGCTGCTAGAGTCAATATCAGCGAGCCAAATCGCCCAAGAGTCCACACTGATGACGAAATCCGGCCGTCAGCAACTCGACTGCGTATGATGAGCGTGGGAATCGATAATCTTGACCGGTACACAAGCGCATAGCAACCGCACGGCAACTGCATACTTAAACACCTGGCCAGTCGAGCCGTGATACATTCGGGAGCCGCCAACTGAGATAGGCATGTATCGGCTTCGCAACTTCATCCTATAAATACTGCGGCACCTGGGCAATTTACTACATACATCTCACTGTGTCTCCGATGATGTATTCGAGTGAGAATCCGAAACGTCAGGCTAATAAAGCTCTTGTCCCAGCGATCGTGTCGCCTTCTTCGTGCTCGTCTACCTTTCCCTTAATAAAACTGAACTGAACTGGATTCCCCCAATATCTATGGGGCGGCCCGAAGATAGACATCATAACAGTCAACAACTACGATTCTCAATTAAGGAAGAATACAGCATTGGAACACCCAACAGTCTAGATTTGGGCACGAAAGTATGAAACCCTCGTAATGTGGGTGACCTTGTGCTAAATTCCAGAGGATACCTATTACCGAGTCCTAACCCTTACGGAATATCGCAAATTCTGAAGCATCGGACCAGGAACCTCAGAAGCATCCTCAATCAACCGTCCACATTCTCCGACTCCGCTATTAGCAGACTCCTCGGGTCGAAAAGAGCAATGCCCTGGGCATCCCGCCTTCCATCTCAGATATAATCAAGGCTGTACTCCAGATGTCCAACAGGACAGCACCGGGATCGGACGCAATGCCGGACGAAGTACAAATGGACGGCAGTCCTCGGCTGATTGACCTCACTCTTTCAGGAAATGTGGCGAACAGGAGAATTCCAACCCGACTTCAAATACGCAACCACCGTCCATCTCTACAAGCGCAAAGGGAACCGGCAACTCTGTGATAACCACAGAGGCATCTCATCACTCAAAATCGCCGGAGAGATCCCCACTCGCGTTCACCTCAGCCGTCAACCCCGCACGTGGAGTAGGGACTTCTCCCAGAATGCCAGCATGCTTTTCGTAGTAGCCGCAGAACCACTGACACGGCATCTGCAGCCAATCAGCTACAGGGGAAATGCCAAGTGATGAGAAGCAATTTTAACATCCCCTTCGACGCGGCAACCAAGTGGAATCTGGAAAATCATGCTGAAGTTTGGATGTCCGGAGCACTTCACACAAATGACACGCCAACTTCACGGTGGGATGATGGTGTGCGTCACGGACAAGGCGGCAATCTCCGAGGTATTCGCAGTGACCAATGGAGTGAGGCACTACTGGGTACTCGTTCCCGCCCTCGTCAGTCTTATGTTCTCCGCCATGCTAATGGGCGCCTACCGTGATGAGCGCACTGGGATACGCATCGCGCATAGAACTGTTGGGCTGCCATTCGCGGAAATAGGGAATCTAATTAGGAAGAATATCCAAGGATTCAGGAATAGCAGCTGGGCGCAGTCGAAAGACAAACTGAACTGGCTTCAGATTAGTAATTAGAGGACTGTTTCCAACAATCCTATTTAGATATAATTCAAACCCTTCTTAAGAAGTTCGGGGTCAGCTCCATTCCTGACGGGTGACCAGATATCACATACTCAGCAGTCATTGGGCGATCTCACGTTGTCAATGTGAACCAAAAATGGATAGGAAAACAAAATTCAAATTAAAAGCACTCCATAGTTGTTTAAAACAGTAGACTTCAGCTTACAAGACTGCATAAAATGTGTACGGAAAGAACAACAAACTGTAAACCAGGAAGTTGGTGTTTTTTTGTGGAGGCACATTAGGTTCACTATAGTTCGGCTGAGAAAATAAACTAGTTACGCTTAAACATATGTAGTAAGCAACATGGTTAGATTGCGCTGCTTTTATCTTTTCAATTATATTTGTTGTTACTTTTGCTAGCGGGATAAGGAAAGTGTTAGCATGTATCAGACTGGGGGAGATGTTTTTGATCAGTGAGACCAACCGGAGTAACCCCGAGATGCTTTTATAATCAGTTATCGAAAGGCAGAGTTTCTTCCCAAAATATGTTCTCAGGGCCTCTGCCGCCATGTAGCACATGGTACTTGAGAACCACACTGAGTTGTTAGAACGACAGATTGTAGATAACCGAGGTTTACAATACTCGCTAAATCTTAATCTCATAAACTTCTGCTACTCTGTTCTGATGAGTAGCGTGTTTCACGTCCATACACAAACCCGTCATTCGCCGTCAACAGACCGGCACGCCAGCGCTCGACAGTAGCAATGTCTAACAGGTCAATGAAGTTGTATGCAGATATGACCTATTTCCGTTCATGATCCATCCAACGCAAGATATTCAGAAAGAAAACCCGGACGGGATAATACATTAATTTTCACAGTTTTGTTCCCTTAAATCTAAAACGAAATTTAGTCCAGGGACTGGCGGCTAGAGTGCGACGCATCTGCTCTCCTGAAACTGTTGAAGCAGAACTCCAGCAGCTGCAAAACACGCTCCGCGAGAACGGATATCCAGAGGGATCCATAATCCGGAATAGTAGAGAGCGTGCCACAAAACCTGCCGTTGCAACTGCGGAAACGAAAGACTTATTTCTAAGACCGCCTATTCTAGGAGACGCAGCAAGCGAATTAGCGAGACGTCTTAGGACAGCTCTCGCGAGTGCCCTCCCGCGGCGAACTTGCCCGTATTCTTCGCAAATTCCCGCCTACTGCTGTTGGGGGGCAAAGACCGGCTGTCGTTACAGGCCACATCCATGTGTATTTATTCATTCACCTGCTCCTGTGGAGCGGGATATATTGGCCGTACAACCAGGCGTCTGAAAAAGAATACGCGAACACATGCCCGCCTGGCTAGGTAGAGGTGAAAATCGATCGACTTTGAGTTCAATTCTCGCACATCTAATCGATACGAACCACCAAGCCGACGCTAAAGACTTCTTTAAAGTTATCTATCGGGCACCGGCACACTACTCTGAAGGCCTGCGCAAACGGATGGTAGCAACAGCCGAAGCAGTGGCCATTCGACTAGCGAACCCAGCACTCTGTTGTCAGAAGACGCTGAAGCAAGCAGTCTGTTTGCCCTGGCCGACTCCAGACGGTGATCACACGCCGTCCCGACGCACTGAGAGCAGTCACACGCACTCACAGCGCTTACAATCTAACCGGAACCCTTCTCCTTCCCCCCCCCCCCTCCCACCCCAACTCCACCGTCCTCAACACGCGGACTCCGTCATGCGGGCGGCGTGGGAACATGGAGTCCGAGTAACCCTGCCCCTGAGACGCATTTATATCCTGTCTACAATTAGGATGATCATTACCCAAGTAAATGTACCCGGCCTGATGATGAGTTACCGAAAATATATGTTTGCGACTGACTCTTGAATGCAAATATAACTGAGCAGTTGTATTTGGGCTCAGTTAAATGTATAAGAGTGCCGTGCCCACTGCTGCAGTAGGCTAGTAAGCAAAACGAAAGGAGGAACAAGTAGATGACCCGAAAATGGGTTTACTCATGTCGAGATTGAAGCCTCCAACTCAGAATTAGTGGACTTGAAACGACGCCATGATCGGATCCAGCTTCTCCTGTGAGAGTAATCGCGGGGTAGGACCTCGTAGTTCAGGTGCTTAGAGCGCTGTCTGTACTCAGGCTCTTCCCTAGCCGTCGTGAGTCCGAATCCCACCGAGGCCGTCGAGTTTTTTGCAATTGGGCCAAATGAAAATGTGAATACTTCGAAGTTCCGGGGATCCAAATGTTCGTCCTCACTAAGCGCGGTCTTTAAAGTAGAACGCCTTCTACCTTGTCTTCATTTGCAGAAAGCCCAGGAAGAAACGGTTTATCAAAAATTTGCCGATGATGCAGTGGACGGTTGGGAATTTACCCAACCCCGAGATTGGACACAAGTTTTCTTTTCGGATTCCTCAAGCGCACTTAGTTGGTACTGGGTGATCGACAAATCAACGACGGCCCAATCGTGATGTTTTACAGCTCACAAAATGATCAAGTCCTCATTAGGGGTTGCAAATGTCTTGGATGCGAACAAAGTGCATACTCCGCTGGCAACTGACAAACGCTGATGCTGATTGATCTGGCCGCTGTGACCTCTGACAACCGCAATCATCGTCAATACCACCTGATCCAGAATGACACGACCCATGGCAAGACGGGGCCTACCTGTCAGTCTGGCCACTGACTACCCAGGTGGATGGTGAGACAGCCTTCAGCGGAGGTTGATTGAGAATTAGTCAGACCCCAAGGTATGATAAACAAACGGCCGCAGAACATGCATCAGTGACAGCTCTGGTATTCAAACGGCGGTCATACGACCAGTCAGACTGACTACGTACTAGTGAGCTCAAGGTTTCGCAGCTAGGTTCACGATAGTAGATCGATGTATGGTGCCGAGACTGGTAACGCCCATGGGTCGGACCATGTCCTTGTCCGTACACGCTTGAAAGTTCATCTCTCATCCGCGCCAAAAATGCCACGTCCTAGACGCCTCGATGTCGCAAAAATCCGGCAAGCCAGCACTGCCGAGGCCCTAAGCAGAGAAATCCGGACCTGTTTTACGACCCGAGCCGACGGAGATGTCAGTAATCAGTGGTCGTCATTGAAGACTTCAGTCTATGGGGCAGCTGAGAAAATCCTTGGATGCACCCAGCGACGCCTCAGTGACTAGATCAGCGGAAGAACCCTGAGAGATCTCTGCTCAGACGGATCAAGCCAGGTTCCGTAACGATGGCTGCTTCCGCCAACTTCGGAAGATGACGGCAAAATCGGCCAAGGATGACCGGAGGCAATATTGGACTGAAATAGCGACCTCCGTGGAACAGGCCTCGAACGTTGGTGACACTCGAAAGCTCAACCAACTGATCCGCCAAGTTAGCGGTAAGCCCCCTACACTGAGTGACTCTGTTCGCGAAGTGAACGGCGGCTTTATGGCTGAAAACTCGGTCAAAGTCGAGCGTTGGCGTGAGCACTTTGAGCACCATCTCAACTTTGATGCCCAACCTACCTCGCCCTTGCTCTCCTCTTCAGCGGAGTTTCTTCCATCTACTACCTATGCGGTGTCATGTGACCCCCCCCCCCCTCTGAAGGAAGTCGCCGATGTCATACGAAAGTTGCGCAAAAATAAGGCCCCCAGTGAGGACGGTATGCACGCTGAAATCTTCAAGTCTTGTGTCGACACTCTGGCGCACTGGATCCATGAGGCGATTGAACGAGCGTGGAGAGACGAGGTTGTTCTTGATGACTGGGGCTTAGGCATCCTTGTACCTATTCTCAAGAAGGGGATAGGACGAGATGCGACAACTACCGCGGCAGAAGTCTCGTCGACGTTGCTACGAAGATCTTCACTATTGTCCTACTTAGGCGATTCCAGTCTGTGCGTGACGCAAGGACGAGGCCCAACCAAGCCGGATTTCGTGCTGGACGTGGATGTGCAGACCACATATTCACACTGGGGCGCATTCTCGAATTTCGCCATAGCTTCCAACAACCGACGGTCGTCTGCTTCATTGAATTTGCCGCCATGTTCGATTCCGTTCACCGTGAGTCCCTGTAGCGGATAATGGCGCTAGATGGTGTACCGGCAAAAAATCATCGTCATGATCAAGGCCTACTATCGCTCCACCACTGCGAGAATCCTGGTCTGCAATAATTCTTCCCAACCGTTCGCTATTCGGTCTGGCGTTCGACAGGGTTGTATCCTGACACCCATTCTGTTCAACTACGCTATTGACTGGATCCTCAGGAGGGCCCTACGCGAGAGTGACGGCGTTGAGTTTGCACCCGGACATCGACTGACTGATCTCGATTATGCTGATGATATCGCCTTACTTGCTTCAAGTTTTGGTGATCTGCAGTCTATGGTGTCACGGGTGAACGAGGTCGCTAAATCGGTCGGTTTGTCCATAAACGCTGGGAAGACCAAAGTGTTTTCAAGCTGCATCCCTGACCAGGAGAAGGCACGCCTCGGGATTGATGGTTGTCAAATTCAAGAAGTAGACAGTTTTAAATACCTCGGGGCGAGGTTGCTGCCGAATGGGCAGAGTAAGAACGACATTGTCTCCCGAATTTATGCTGTATGACAGGTTTCCTCAAGCCTTTGAAAATGCCTATGGATCCGACGCGACCTCTCCACCGCCACTAAGATTCGCGTGTACCGTGCATCTGTCCAGTCTGTCCTTCTCTACGGTTGTGGATGCTGGGCTTTGCGCGTGGAGGACGAGCGAAAACTTGAGGTATTTGACCACCACTGCTTGAGGACCATCCTTCGAGTGAAGTTCACCGACTTCGTCTCAAATGAGACAGTCCGCGCTCGCTGCGACAACATCGCAAGGATAACCCAGGCCATCCAAGAAAGACGACCGAGTTGGTTGGGGCTTGTTCTTCGTCGTCCACCTCAGGAGCTCAGTGTTACTGCCCTCGATCCGGCACAGTTGCCCCATTCGAGGCGTTGAAGAGGGGATCAGTTCAAAACCTGGCTCGACACAGTGCGTCAAGACACGGAGGTGGTTCTTGGACCTTCGGTATTCCGTCTACGCCGTTGGCGAAGGCAATGGGTTGAGCTGTCTAGATCTGCTGCCGCGGATCGTGTCGCGTGGGGAGGTACAGTTCGTGACATCATCGAGGCCGGCTAGATCAGGCATGATCGCAGTCGCATCAAGTACAAGTACAAGCACAGCCCCGAGCCCGCTGTGCAGCGATCTGACAGCCTATCCACCTATGAAGAGCTTGAAGGCCGGTGCACACTACGACATGACGAGCGTCACCCGCTGTCCCAGAAATCTAAAATCTCAAGCTCTGTGCGCGCGCGGACGGTCCTGGCTAACTCCTACTGGAAGGCGATACTCGTGCCCACTCACAACTATTTTTGACATAAACCTGCCCCCTGTCACAATTGCATTCGTAGACCCGTTTCACCACCTCGACGTCCGGCTAGATTTCAGTCGCGCACAGCTACTGATTCCCATTAAACTGGAACTTCCCAACCCCAGCAAAACTGCAACCTGTTCGCGCTCCCAAGGCGCCCTTACCAACAGGAGTGGATGGGCCGAAAATCGGATATCCCGAAACACGGACTAAAAACGCCAGTCACCGCTCAATCCAGTTACGGGATGGAAAAGACGGTCACCGTCGATTGTGACGAGCGGACTACTGCAATTTACGCAAGCAAAGGCTACCCTTCCCCTTTTGGATGAAAAGAGAAGTCCTTTTGCCAGATTCATCCTACAATTTGATCGCTTTGAGTAACGAAGAGGTCAGAAATTTATGCCAAACCCCTTTCAGGTGAATATCACATGCGGACGCACGGTCAGCCACCTTCTATAAAACCAGCTGCTAGAGGCAAACCAATTTAGATTTTCCGGATTAGAATTACGTAGCTTGGCAGTACCCGACGAGGGGAATTTGGACTAAAAAACACCAGACCAATTGTTAACTGGAAAAAATGTATGTTCTGGGGTAAAGAAGACTGAGTAATGAGAAGAAAAAAGGCAGCGCAAATATGTACATAGGAGCCCGATGGCGAAGGGGAAGCTACATAAAATCGGCCATTGGGTCGTTTGGGTTTCGGCGAGTACGATAGTAGGCCTCCATCTCCTCCTCCGTGGGCATCTTCACCTCGCCCAGGGAATTGTAGGGTCGGTCACGCTCGTCCATCTTCATCAG